ATTTGATTATATATTATAATCGTTAACACAAAATATATTTTAAATAAGGAAAGCTCCGAAATTGAATAAAGTTGAAACCTGATTGTATAATTATGACAACATTCGAAGGACGGTTAGAAGGGTTGGGGTCGTACAAAAACGTTCTGAAAATACAAGAAAAAAAGGGGGGGGACGCGGCCCCCTCGGCCCCTCCCCTAAATCCACCTATGTCAACTGGCTTGATGATGTGAATTAGTCACCGTAAGGAGATTCGAAAGCTGACGTTTCCAGCGTTAGCCCTTCGTCGGGGCGAATCGGGGAATTGTAGGTTGTGTGTGGTTTATATACAGAAAGATGGAGCTACGCTATTGGTTGTTGCATGGAAACGTGAAAACCGACAGAATAAATTAGTTGAATGAAAAGCGTTCGTTGATACCGTGGGGATTAAGAGTGCCGATTTGAAAAATAAATGTTTGTTCTAGAGTCTTACGGCTTTCCGTGCTTCCTTGATGTAGGGAAAGGCCGCAGACTGCCATATGTTGCTTAGAATGATTGGGGAGATTAAAGTGCCTCGTGACCGGTTTAGATGCGTTTTTGTCGTCTTTATCTACGTCACGAAGTTGTTCTCTGAATCGGTCGCCTAGTCGTCTCCCTGTTTCGCCGATGTATAACTTTTTGCAAAGAATGCAAGTTTTGCAGTAGATTACATTGGCTGAGGCACAGGTGAAATGATCAGTGATCTTGATGGATCGCTTGGGTCCTGATATTTTCTTAATATTGCGAATGAAAGGACATGTTTTGCATGGTGCGCGTGCGCATTTGAAAGTTCCGGATTTGATCACTTGTTTGGAATGCACTTCTGACTAAAAAGTTGCCTATGTTTTTATCGCGTTTGAATGAAATTAATGGAGGTTGCGAAAAGATTCTACCAGTATCGGGATCATTTTGAAGTAATTTAAAGTGTTTTAGAATGATGGATTTTACTGCGTGGTTGTGAGGGTGAAATGAGAAGGTGAATGGAATTTATCATTATTTTCCTTCTGTGACGTTTGTAGTGCTCACTGTCGATCAAGTTGTTGGGCGCGGTGATGGCCCGCTTGAACAACAGAAGCAGGATAACCACGTTTGTCGAAGAAATCGCACATTTCCTCTGGTTTTAAGGAAAAATTCAGAGTCATTACTACAAAGACGACGAAGTCTAAGAAACTGAGAATAAGGAATGGAATTCTTGACATGTGATAGATGTGAAAATGAATACGAGAAATAACTATGAGAATCTGTGGGTTTGTAGTGCACACTGGTGCATAAACCGTTCGCTTCGATATAAACTTTGATATCCAGAAATGCTAGAGAAGTATCGGAAATTTCCCAGGTATGTTTAAGAGCAGGATGAAACGAATTGAGAGCAGTTACGAATTGATCGAGGTCCTCTCTGGTAGAAGACGTAGCGTCGATACAATCATCAATGTAGCGACGGTAGAGTTCAGGTTTGGGGCCGTTGTATTGAGTTAAAAATCGGTGTTCGATGTAGCCCACGAAAAGATTGGCGTAAATGGGTCCCGTTTTGGCACCCATGGCCACGCCATTGATTTGTTTATAATTGTCCGCGAATGAAAAACAGTTGAGTGTTAACACTAATTCAGCCAGGCGGAGTACTGTTTCCGAGCTTGATTCCTTAACAGTACGTAAATCAAAAAAATGTTTGAGGGCTAGAAGACCTTCGCCATTTGGGATGACGGTGTACAGAGATATAATATCCATGGTGAAAATAAGTTTGTCTTCGCCCAGGAAATTGAAATCTCGAAACATTTGAAGTGCGTGTTGACTGTCTTTAACGTATGACGATAAAGATCTGACGATAGGTGCCATAATTTTGTCTAAATAGCTGGAAATGAGTTCGGTAGGGCAACTACAGGCAGAGACGATAGGTCGACCTGGGTCGTTAGGTTTGTGAATTTTAGGTAAAAAGTAAATACACGAAGTTCTAGGAGTGCTAATGATGAGATTGGTAGCAGTAGCCGGCAATTCTTGTTTCACTATAAGGTCGTTAATCCTGTCGTGAAGTTCGTTCTCGTCCATTGTCTGCAGTATTTGTGAAACAGTCGTGAGTGGAACTCCCGTTAACGACGAAAACTCGCGTACATTTCCAGACTCTCGCCGTCGAATTTGTAAAATTGATCGATCCGAGGGAAGGTTTCTTTATCAGGCGTCTCCCTGTGACACATACCTCCTAGAGCACAGAGTATTTCCTGGTCATTTTCACTGAGCCTGACCTCAAGCTCTGACAGCACCTTGTCGAGGGACACATAGTAAGTATTAATCCTTACAAAGTGGGCAATGAGAGTGAAAAACAAAAATCCGGATCCTTAAAAAAAAAAAATAAAGCTTTTGTCCAGCGACAATGTGAGACATGAAAAAAAAGGGCGATTAAGAAAATGCCTCCTCGCACTACGTTTGAGTATTGAGTCTCGCCTTAATGTATATTGATTACCAGTATTTCTGTTCTATTTTTACGTCGCATTGTAATTTTTCGAAACAACTGGAAACGTTTTAAAAACATTTTATAAATACTGGTTGTAGGGTAGTGCCAATCTTGTGATTGCGAGTTAGTCTTCCCTTCAAGGACCAAACATCAGCTAACGCGGTTAGAAGGCAAATGCGCGATCTCAACCACAAGATTGGCACTACCCTACAACCAGTATTTAATAGCAAGAAACTGGAACAAGATCTCAAGCCCAAAGAAATCAAGCCTCCGATCGTAAATCAACAATGTGTGGTTTATTTATTTTCATGTGACCCGTGCGATGCAGATTTTGTCGGCTACACAGCCCGACACCTCCACCAACGCATTACTGAACATAAAAACTCGGCGATTGGAAAACACCTTTTGGAAGCGCACGGGGACATAAGCCTCCTCAACGAAAGCCAGTTTCGAATTCTCCGAAAGTGCCAAGGGAAATTTGATTGCCTCGTCTACGAGATGCTTTGCATAAAGGAACGGAATCCAAGCTTGAACACGCAAACTGACTCCGTCCGTGCGAAACTCTTTGTTTAATTTTAAACATTTTAACACATCCATTGAACTATTGTTTTACTGACTGTTTATACATTTTTTATCGACTATCATTCTGACTTGATAATGATGTTAGCTCAACGTCGAAACATCGTCGTTTTTTAACAAATTTGTAACTTTCTCGATATGCTTAGAAATATTTTATCGCAATTTTTTATAGTTAAATGTTTAGAAAAATCGCTTCTTATTCGAATAATAATAATAATAATAATAATAATAATAATAATAATAATAATGACTTTATCAACGTGTCAAATGCATCTAGCAGTGGAGAATCCCCACTGCTAATGGGGGACACCTAACTAAAACTATCTAAAAATAATATACATAAAAGTCCGATAAGAGAAATTAAAATTATGAGTTACAAAGATGGTAGCCACTGCATCCATATAGGATGTTGTCTAGATCTAGCCTCGGTACTTGGGTCTTAAACT